GAGAGAAAGAGAGAGAGAAACACCAATGATGAGAGAGTCATTGATCAGCTGCCTCCTGCACGCCCCCGACTGGGGATCGAGCCCGCCACCCGGGCATGTGCCCTGACCGGGAATCGAACCCTGGTCATGGAATGGAGACTTCCTGGTTCATAGATCGATGCTCAACCACTGAACCACGCCGGCCGGGCAAGAATCTTTTAGAAAATGATCGAGTCACCTCAGCCAGCATTGTGAATGTAGTATGCATATATACATATAAAGTCTGGAGGCATAAATTATCATGGCTTCCAAATTTGACAAATGATTCAGGTAAATAGTGGATTTTATCTGTTAAATCACATTAAGGCTCCCAAGTGGATGCATCCTGCGCTCTGGGCACATAATTTATCATAGGTATCACATGGATTCCGTGTAATTACATTAATTATTTAGTATATACAAAGGTAAGCTCTGGAGATTTAGAATAGAATCAGATAAGCTTCATAGGAACATCTAAATTGGTTAGATTGATTAAATTTTTTGCCGGGAGACAGTTGAGGGTGGGTCGCTATGATGGAGTGCTCTTCCCTGGAGCTCACATGCACTGGAGTGATTCTGAAAAAGTGAGGATTGATTAGGAGACCAGAGCATAGGCCTCTGTCCATGGAAATGATGGGTTGGTCTGCTTGGAAATGAGTCTTTGATTTATTTCCTGTTTGCCCTTTGTCTTATTTCCCTTTCATCCAAGCTCAGATTCTCGCCTGTCCAACAAGAACAAGAAAACTTGATTCTCTAGAGCCTAGGGCTGGCTCACGTATTACTGGGGTGATGCAGAAGAGAAGAACAGACTTTGGCGAGCTGTTGACTTGGAGGGCGCCAAAGTAGCCTTGTTGTCTTGGGCGTATTGTTCTCAGCCAAAGTCAGCTGCTAAACTGAGGCATTTGGAAGCTTGGAAACATGTTGCTGTTGCTAAATTTGTACCTTTTACCCACTGAGAGCTTTCTGTAAGTGTTTTTAGATCAGAGAGGATACAGGGACTCAGAAACGGACACTAGCCAATGAACACAAGGAGCAACAGAAAGAGGAATCCAAGCCCCTAAAAATAAGCATCTATAGGTTCCTTTTCCCAGTGCTTGTTTTCCTTTGTGCCAGCTGGTTTGCAGGGAAAGGCTGCCCTGGAAGCTGAATTTTTGCATGTGCAGGAGAACTGTCTGTCTGTTTAGAATTCAGATAGACTTCAGGGAGGGCCTAGGGATTCTGTACCTAGATGGACTCCAGGGACTCGAGCTTGTTTACACCAGGATTCAAGCGTAATACAGTTGTCACTATTAGCTCACAATCCATGTGTACCCAGGTACACGCTCTCTTGGCCTGTACATGTGCACCTGGGCTCCATCTGCTAGTGTGACTTACTTCAGAGTACCTGGGAGGTGCCCGAAGACGGTGGTTGGCTGCTTCTTGAGAGCAAAGTGCTCAGGTAGAGCCAATTTAGACAAGCATGTCACCAGGACAGAGTAAGATTTTGATAAAACTGGTTCAGTTAACATCTATCTTTTCTAGGGCCAAGATGGCCTTCTCCACTTTTCTTCTCTGGCTAAGAGAACCATTAGCTCATTAGCTGCATTTCCAATCTGTGTCCAAACTCAGGTGAAACTTCCAGTGATTGTTGAGGGCCGCAGTGAGGTCCACGTGGCTGCTTCAGTGTGTGATTAATACACTGGGAGGGCTGCTGGTGGTGGGGCCAAAAGATAGGAGATGAGCTGGAGGCACAGGCATTATGAGGAGAAGACCAGCAGTGAGGCACCTCACCCAGCTCAAGGTCAACATGGTGGCCCCACAGTGTCATGGACAGGGTTTGCTGTCCATTATCGAAATCCTCTAGAAGAGACTGCTCCTGAGACAAAGGTAGGAGCATGGAAGCTCAACTAAATTGTTTCGTTTTATTAAATCTCACAGCAACAGTTTGCACCTTAACCTGCACCTCTGGCTGGAAAATAACTAGCATGGGTGCGGGAGGGATTGAGACTGACAGCGGTGCACATTAATCAAAATGTTCTTCTGAGCCACCCCAGCCTCTGACTTCAACTCTCTATGCCTGTTTCCTCTTCTGAAAAATTAAGGTAATAGTAGAACAATAGTATCTATCTCATAGGCTTGTCGGGAGGGTTAAATGAGTTAATACTAAGAAGACACTGAAAAGCATGCCTGGTATGTGGTAGGTGGTCTTGGGATGTTAATTGTTGGTTCTGTTAGATGTATTTGTTGCCATACCCACGTTGGACTGAAAGCTGAGTCTTACATGGGAGTCTCTCATATTTCCCTCTAATTTCTGTGTTGCTCCTGCCCCATTGAAGGAGCAAGGCAGCCATTGGTCCCACTGGTGCCCATGATGAGAGTTGGGAGGTGCGGACATCGTGGCAACTCCTGAAATACACCCACGCCTGCCTGCCCACCCCGACTGCTGTCAGCAGCCTGAATTTCAGGGGTTGCCAGTCTCTTTAAGTGCCAGTTTTCATGACCGCCTCAACTTACCCCTCTCCCACTGCTGCTCAGTACCTGTCCTCAGCTGACACCGTGCTCATTTGTGGTTGTGATCTCACGCCTCCAGGAGACGTACTTCGGTTGGCTTCTCCACCTCTAACTCAACTGTGGGCTCCTTTCTGTGGAAGGACTACCCCATGCGTCCTGCCCCTCCCTCTTGCCCTCGCCATGGGCATCCAGTTCAGTGTTCTGCTCACATGGCACCTATTCTCACTCTGGAGCAGGTCAGGATGGGTTCACCCTTGTGCTGCCCTTTGCACCCAGCCCAGACCCACTGGAGGCGTGACGATGAGAAATGTTTGTGGAAATGACTCTCAAACACTGCTCTCCTGCCCCAGTTCTTCCCTGAACCCCACGCACTGTATACATGACTCACGCTGGCGGGCTTGATCACTGTACAGAAAAACGGGGACACCCTGCCTTGGGGCCAGGCCAGGGCTGAGGTTCCCAAAGGGCTGTCTCGTTTGTCTTGGTTGGAGTTACCTGATCTGTATATTGGAGCATTTACACCTTTAGCCCTTGAAAAAGGAGAAAATTCTATTTATCGTAAACCTTTTACAATGACACCATCTATCACATACTCCTCTCTCTACAAATACAACATCAGCTAACATTTATAAAACATCTATATGTCAGGTGCTCTATTAAAGTAGGCATCATATATAAGTTTTTCATTTGATCCTATGGGTTAAGAATTGCAGCTACTTTTACAATGAAAGAAACTAAGGCTTAGAGAACTATTTGACCAAGATTGCAAACTTGCTATGTGGCATAAACTATTGATCTAATGCTCACTTGTTCTAGCTGGCCTTGCTCATAATTTCTCTTCTCCATGTTTATAAAAATACTCGTTTGTCTACTGTCAGATATCTTTTAATTTTTTCCCCTGCCTGAGCATATGTTTCCTTCTCTGGAGACAGAGACACTTTTGTTGACATTTCTTCCTCTGTTCACTGATGTTGCAATGATTTCATTGGACACATGTGTACTCTGTGAGAATATACACCTGGCTAGATCCTGCGCCCCACATGCTAGCTTGCTGGAAGCCCAGATACTCTAGGGCAGGAGGAACTGCAGAGAAGCAGCAGGGATCAAGTTCAGTGGTGCAAAGAGTTCCTACTACGCTCACGGCTGAGCTCAGCCCATCCTCGGACCAATCCTGGAAGGGCCTAGAAGTTCTCAGCATTAGCATGTCTTCTTCAAGGTTTGTTTGTACCTTTCTTTGATCCAATATCTGTCCTCTATCAGGTGCTGGTTAATTTCCACAGCATGATATTTTGCTTGATATTATGTCCATTGTCTGTAAGGCTGGAATATAGAAAGCAAGAGCGCCCCTGGCATAAGAGACAGGGCATTTGTGGACGAGCCTATGGCTGCTCACATCTACAGAGCTTGAGAGAGGCACTCCAGGATTTGGAGATCTGGAGCTGAGGGAGCCTTTGAGGTCTCGGGCAGCTGCCAGTCAGCTTGCACTGCATTTTTCAAAGCACACCTGCAATTCTACGCTATGCTCTCCTCCCTGTCACAGCCTCCTCCTGTTCCTGCTTAGGTCATTCCTCTGGGAGAGAAGCATCAAGGCAGATTCTTTGTCCTATCATCAGGCAGCATCTCTTTGAAAATTCTTGTTATCAGGAAAATAATGCACACATCTGACACAATACATGATATAGGAATCTCTATGTAAATGTTAAATAAATAAAATAACTGTAATGCAAAGAAGGTCTTGATTACCCCAGACACTTGGTTCTGTTCTGTAGGGGTCACAACGATCATCAGTTTCATGCAGTTCCTTCTAGAAAGTTTCTCTGTATATAGAGACACAAGTTTCAGTGTCTGGGAGATACCCAGTGGGTACAGGAGATGGGTGGTTGTGTGCGTAAGGTATGAGTTTAAGGGGAAGTCGGGGTTGGAGTTAAGAATTTGAGTCCTTACATACACCTGTTAATAAGAGGCCTTAGGCTGGATGGGAACAGAGAGATTTGAGTATAGATAATGAAGGGGGTTGAAGGACTGATCCAGGGGAAGGAAGGGCTGATCTAGACTTATTGTTTAGGGCAGGAATTGGCAGACAGCAGCTGAATGTTTTTCTCTTTTCATAAAGTTTCTTTGGAACAGAGCCATTTGCATTCCTTTATCTAGTATCTCTGCTGCTTTCAAGCTACAACTGCAGAGTTGAGTAGTTGTGACAAAGACTTACAGCCTGCCAAACCTGCAAAATGTACTATCTGGCTTTTTACAGACAAGGTTTGTCGTCCTGTGTGAGAGACTGGAGATAAAGGGAGAGGATCCAGCAAGGGAGACAGAGAGGAGGGGGGGACCCTGTGAGATCTGCACTCTAGGCCAGGTGGTAAAAGAGTTTCAACCCACAGCATTGGGATGTGTGACACTGGACGAGCCACTTCACCTATGAGGACAGCGCAGGATTGTTGTAAATGAGATGATGCAAGGAAAACACTTCCAACTGTGTCTGCATACAACAAGTGCTCAGTAAATGTTCCTACAGCACCCACTTCTTGCTTGGCCTGCGGTCCTAGGCAGGCTCTGCACTGGGACAAGATTCAGGGTGTGTGAGGACTGGCCCCACCCCTCTTGAGTAAGCCCTGTGACCAGTGCTCAGGGCCCCAAAGCAGGAGGAAGGTGAGCCCAGGACCCCTGGCCCAACCCTGTACACCGTGTCCCCAAGAGGAACTTGAAGGAGCACTCTGATCCTCCAGCATCTGCTTTTACCTTTGACAAACAGGCTTTACTGAAAGCTTTTGAGCAAATGGCAAATCCATCTTTATGAGATTACCAGTGTCAACACATTTCATGTATCAGGATTTGCTGGGCTCCTGTGGGGCTGTACCTGTGACAGCATTGGCTACAGTGCTTGCTGGGGAATGAGGCCCCACTCCCTAGTGCTGGGGAGGGCTCGGATTCCCACCTCGGTCCGGATATGTCCTCCCAGGAAGAGCTTTGATGAGAAGCTGGAAGAGGGTGTGAGGTCTGTTGGGGCTCCTCTAGAGATTCTGGCTGCAAGGCTTGGAGAGGGAAAGAAATACCTTGCATTGGTCTCAGGGTTTGGCATTCAGTGCATCAGCCTCACTCCTGGCCCCTGAGACTCACATGAGCCCCATGGGAGTGTTTGTCCTTTTGGGAAGGCCATGAAGGAGAATTTGGTTTCTTCTACTCCCTTGTTCTTGGATTTGTCATTTCCCTGGTTAGCCTCCAAAGCAGTGGTTCTCAAAGTGTGATCTGTGGGCCAGCAGCATCAGAATCCCCTGCAAACTCGCTAGAGATGCAAATCTCACTGCCACCACAGCCCCTGGAGTCATCAGCTTGTGATGTGTGGACTTGGCAAGTTAGTTAAACTCTCTGAAATAAATGAAACATGGTCAACTTTATTACAATAACTATGTACCGTGCGCCGGGTGTGTACTTGAACGTGTACTTGAAATATCATGGGGTGGGGTGGATACTTTGTAAGTATATGATTTTCTAACCTCTATGCTGTACACCTGAAACTAACACAAAATAAGGTTGAATGCAAACTGTAATTATAAAATAAAATTTAAAAAATGATTAAATAAGCTGAGCAGTCCTCTGAGCTTAATAAGCCCCCCAGGTGATTCTGATCTTAAGATTTGAGAACCACTCCTCTGAAGATTCCTCTAAGAGATTCCCTTTTTTGGACAATGAGAAGTTCCTGCTGAGAAAATCTTTCAGAGTTTATCCCTTTACGCATCTCCAACTATTTTTAATCTGAGTTAATCTGCCAGTCATCTCTCCAAAATGAATGCTTTCTCATTTTCTTCACAATCTGGTGGGATATCTTTAGTCTTTCTTTAAGGCTCGGGCATCATCATGGATATAAGGAGTGCTGCGTTGGGGGTAGGGTTTTTGGCATCACCCTTCTATGTTTGTATTCTTTACCGGCTTTAAATTTTTTAGCTGTTTCTTGCTTGATTCTTTAGTGTCTGGATGGATGTCAGCTGTTATTACTATATCTGGCATGGGGCCCATCCCTTTCTAATTTTTTTTTAATTTTACAATTGATTTTGTACGGGGACTGAAATAACCAAGATAGTAAAGTTTACAAAGCCAGAGAAAATCAGTAAAAAAAATAAATAAATAAAATAAAATAAATGAGGAGCTGAGGGCAGTTTTTAAAAAATATAATCTTCTGAGCCTGAATTTTGCAGCATAAGGTTTAGGTTCTTGCATGCCTCACTGCTGTTTACTTCTGATCCCATTCTCAATAGTTGATTTTTTTCAGTGATTGACAAGTTGTTGGATGATACTATCACTCACAGTTCTCCTGAATGTTCCCAGGTCCTCTTACACTTTCCCATCCTGTGCTTGTCTTTCTCCGTTATTGACATAGTATATGTTTTCCTAAAAGATACAATTCCTGACATCATCCATGCACGTGTAAATTACCGCTCTGTGGAATAAAAGGTGGTTACTAAATGTGAACTCCCCCTCCCCCCCTTTTCCTGTTGTTCGCCTCCCCTGCGTCCCCCCAGGTCCCCAAGGCAGCCACAGCCTGGGGTTGCGTGCAGGGGCCGAGGTGGGAAAAGCGGTGGATTCTAGGCTTGGCGCCGCCATTAAGTGACTGTGTGGAATTAGGCAAATCACTTGGCTTCCCTGAGCCTTGAGCTGCATCCTTAGAAATGCAGATGACAGCGCCTGCTGCCCCTTCCTCCAGGCAGTGTAACAAGAACCTGGGCAAACAGTGCGCACACCCATGCGCGGGCGTCACTGTGCCCGCGTGGGGCTTCTTGGCTTCCTGGAGGCCTAGAGGTGGCTTCTACAGCACCCCTCTCCCTCCCCAGCTGCCTTGGCTCAGAGGCGCCGGGGCGGTGCTGTGTTTGTTGTCATGTTTCAGAGCGTGCCCGGTCAGCACAGGCATGAAATAAAGCCCCAGAGAGAAAGCCGATACTCATTTCCGTAGAAAATGTTGGAGGGAAAGACAAGGACACTCACCGGTGGCTCCACAGCCCCGAGCAGCCCCGAGTGCAGCTGCGGGAGGCACAGCAGAGTGTGTGACGCGGTGCTTTGGATGCTCTTGCTGCTTGGGAGTCTGTACGTGCGGAGACGTGGGGATGCCAAGTATTTGGACGACATGTCCGCTTGGTGCCTGCGGGTTCCTGGAAGGGCCTGGGGTCTCCGAAGGTAGGCCTGCCAGCCTGGGTTCTGAGGCAGGGGCATGCGTTCCACTGGGTAAGGCCATTCGGGACCTCAGGTGAACAGATAAAGAAGCCCCAAGAAGACATCGCCACTGACCCAGAGAGACAGCCATTCTCCTACGCAGGTTCTCCCTTCCCTTACGTCTATTCGTATTGGAGGCTGACAGCTACTGCCACTGAAGGACATGCACGGAGACTTCCACGCACTCCCACCCGCCGGCAGGAAGCTCCTGGAAGGGCTAACCCGGTTTATTTCACCGCGTTTTTGCCAATCCTAACCCTACCCTCTCTTTAAAACCAGTTTAAGTTTGACCTTCCCTCTGAAATCAGCGAAGACTCGTCTCAGGACCCCTCCCTCTCGCCTTTCACTGCCTGAGACTCTCTGTGCCGTTAGGGCGTGTCTTGTTTCCTCTGCTGCCCATCGGCATCCTAGGGAAGTGCAAGGTTTTACAAATACGGCTTCTGCTCTAGGGCCTGGATGCACCTGGGGCAGTAGCCTATCTTCCCCACCTGGGCTGAGGTTACCATGTCTCAGGGGCTGGCCTGGGCTCTGCCCAAGGTTGCTGCAGGGCAGCCAGAGGTAGCAGAGCCAGAGTGTAGACTGAGTGGCCGTAAAGCCTGACAAGTGGTGTTGAACTTCTCATCCAAGGGACAAAGAGACAGAGGCCAAAGCCAGGGACACAATCGAGGTTAGAGGCCAAGGATCAGGAGTCAGGTAAGTGACTCTGTGGACTGAGGCTGTGAAGGTTCCCCTGCCAGGGTTGGAGGCCTCCTTGCTATTGCACGGCGTGTGTTTTTTTTCATGTAGAAATAGGCTATTTCTTTTAAAGGAGTTATGCAGGTTGGATATTTACATCACGGTGCGTTTCCAGGTGTGGGGCCTATGCAAGTGACGCTCTCACTGCTGGTGTCCATCCACAAAGGGACCACAGTGTCCCACTGTCCTCACCTGAGAAATGCAGGAGTTGGACTGAATCCTTTCTTGCTCCATGGTCCTAGCAAATGAGTTGAGGGAATTGAGAGCTGACCAATCTCTTATGTAATGCCTGGATATTGCAAGGAGTACCTATTTGAAGAATTTTGGACGTAGAAACATTTCCTTTCTCAAGTGGTGGAGGCTTGGGACCAAAAGCTAGGCCATCCCTGAAGGGATATTTGTTGTTTTCTTTATTGGGAGTGAAGCTCTTACATATTTAAGGGCAGAAAGGAAAGCTTGCATGGGCTCGGGGGTGGAGGATGGGCCTATTTCTTCTCAGGATAGTGGATTGCAATAATTAAAGACAGAGATGGAACAAAGGAATGGATAGTGACTATCATCAGAGAAGTAAATGCTAGTTATACAAGACAAAGAGGTAATGGAGACTGATGTGTACAGGCATGTGGCTTTAACTAGCTGATGCCTTAGTGATATTGGTATTCAGGAGATCTACTTATTCTCAGAGGTAGAAAGCTGTGCTCTTATAAAAGCAGTCCAAACACCAATTTAGAGTAGGCGGGCCAGTGGGAGCAGAGTGGTCAGTTGCCATGGGGAACAGAGATTCCCTGCCGAGAAGTTGCCCCTGCCTGTGCGCAGGGACAGTGCCAGGTAGGGCAAAGCTTTTCAAACTCGAATGTGCATACCGGTCACCTGGGGATCTTGTGGCACTATAGGAACTATACATTCTGACTCAGTAGGTCTGAGTGGGCCCAAGACTGTGTTTCTAACCATCTTCCAGGTGCTACTGCTGCTGCTGTCTGTGGACCATGTTTTGAGTAGCAAGGGTAGAGTGGACATTGGGGGAAGAAGCAGTAGACCTGACTTCCAGCTCTGTGTGGTCCTGGACAAGTCACTGACTCTCTGAGACCCACCGTTTCCTCAAAAGTAGCGAAAGCGGGAAATGGACTGGGCCCTCTCCAGTATGACCNGAAGCAGTAGACCTGACTTCCAGCTCTGTGTGGCCCTGGACAAGTCACTGACTCTCTGAGACCCACCGTTTCCTCAAAAGTAGCGAAAGCAGGAAATGGACTGGGCCCTCTCTGTACAGTCCAGAGAGAATTTAGGCTTCTGCTTTGATCTTCTCTAGAGCAGCCTGTTGGCCCTGGAGGTTGTGCCCAGTGCTCTTGCAACATGGGGGTTTGCTTTGTTCATGCACTAAGCGTGGGCTGTTTGACCAGCCTCTTCCCAGTGCCTTTAAGAGCGGAGACCAGGCTTTATTGTGCTTTTTGAAAGAGAAGAGAAGAGACAATTCAGTGACCCCCCTGTCCCATCTCCATTCCTCTCATGGTTCCAAAGTGCCTTTCGCCTCTCCCGTTATGACATGTTCAGACTCATCAGTGACCTCTAGAATTCTCCTGCCCTTCTGTCTAGGAAGGTGGCTTACCCTAAGATAATTCCTGGGCCTCAGACCTCGAGTCCAGGCCTCTGAGACGAGATGTCCAGTTTGTTCACTACAGTAGCTGCCAGGCCTATTGCAGTTATGTAAGAGGTTTCTTTTTTTAACCAGGTCTTGAAAATGTGTGCAATATTCTTTAGGTAATAAATGAAATTAAAAAAAAGGCTGGAAATAAATTGGCTTTGCAAAGTGGGGCTGAAGCTTTTCTACTAACTGCACCATTTGTTTATTTATTTTGGTGCTTGTTGCTTTTTAAGGAGCTGATGGCAAGTGATTTCTTTTTAACCCTTTTAAGGGCCCAGCTTATCTTTTGCTTTGGCTATTGAGACTTTGGCTGGATATAGAAGAGGCCTCCAAACTGTTACTCTGGCCCGGCTGGGCGTGGCTACCNAGGGCCCAGCTTATCTTTTGCTTTGGCTATTGAGACTTTGGCTGGATATAGAAGAGGCCTCCAAACTGTTACTCTGGCCCGGCCGGGCATGGCTACCATTGAGCGTCGACCTAGGATCCAGGTGATTGGGGTTCAATTCCCGGTCAGGGGANGGTTGAGCATCGACCTAGGATCCAGGAGATCGGGGTTCGATTCCCGGTCAGGGCACATGCCCGGGTTGCGGGCTCGATCAATGACTCTCTCATCATGGATGTTCCTATCTCTGTCTCTCCCTCTCCTTTCCTCTCTCTGAAATCAATAAAATATATTAAAAAAAACCCAAAAACCCAAAAAAACCCNCTCCCTCTCCTTTCCTCTCTCTGAAATCAATAAAATATATTAAAAAAAAACCCAAAACCCCAAAAAAACCCCTGTTACTCTGTGAATGGGGTGTGATTTGAGAAAACATTACTATATATCCCCTCGCCTGGGGCGGCTTTTGCCCCAAGGCTCATTTCCTGCCCTGTGCCATCTTCAAAGAATCCCTGTCCAACTGCCACGGTGATTAAACTGAGGAAAAAATGTCTTCCTACCCAGACGTTTCCCCTGAGGGCTGGAAAGTGGGAAAATAACTCCACTGCCTGAGCGCGGCACCAGGAGCAGTGTCCTTTGACCCTGTTGGGCCTCGGCCTCTTTGCCTGCAGAACATGTCCAACGCCTTAGGCTGGCTTAGGGTTGCACAGGCTACGTGGTGCACAGCAGGCCCATTGTCCTGCTGTGATTTCACTGTTGTTCTGATGGATGTGTTTCAGATGCCTGCCTCCTGGGCACGGTGTGTGACAACTGGGGGCCGGGTAGCTGAGCAAGACGATGCCGGAGCATGGAGTCCCTCTACCCGGAGAGGGGCTGATGGTGCTACAACAGTTAGCCTATAGGGGACCCGTGTGAACTGCGGCTGGGGGCGCTCCCTTCGCGTGCACAGTGCGAGGAAAACCGCCCCACGGGAGGCCGAGGGCCGACGGCAGCGGGGAGCGCCCCCCGCCCCGCATCCGTGCACACGGACGGTGAATGGAGTGTCCGGAATCGTCTGATTCCACTTCTCATTAGTATTTCTCCTCCGTGTCCCCTGACCACGCTTTCCTCCTCGGTGCATAAAAAGCTATTAGCAATGCACACACGTGGCGCATCTGCGGAGCCATTTTTGTGGCTGGATAGCTGTATTTGTGTGAAAAATTGAACACCCTGTGAAGATGTATAACGATTTCCTGCCCCATCCCCTACAGCCCCACCCCCCTTTTCTCCTTTTAAAGACGTAGTAACATCTCTGGTTCTATCTGGAGGGAAAAAACCTTTGAAGTGAGACCTCATGAAGATCAAACGCCCTTCTCTGCAAGTCTCACACTAGAATGAGCATGGAGACCTTTTGAGAAGCCCTAGGGCTGCCTGAGGCCCAGGGCGGGACAGCTTTACTAGAAGGATGCTGGCCCCAGTCTGTCTCTGGTTTCTGTCCCCACTGGGAGTCAGCTCTCCCAAGCATGGGCTGAGTAGACGCACGGCCACACAGTTATTCAGTTCTTATACCTTGCTCATGCCTGTCCCAAGATCCACACGGGGGTCTTGTCCGTCACGTGAACAACTTGGGTGTGTGTTGGTCGTAAGGGACCCTCTGATTCCCTGAATTATTAGTCTCTGCTCTTCTGTTTTGTCGGTGGAGATGTCAGTGGCTGTAATGTGGTTCTGGGCGGAGTGAGCCCAGGCTGGAGGCAGGAGGAGGGAAACAGTTGTCCTCCCTGCTGCAGAGCTGGCAGGGTCTGTTGAAAGGGGTTTTATAGTTTTATAGACCAGAGATCTCACCAGTGCTCTGAGGGCAATCTTCAGCTTAGCTTCCTCTAAGCTTGTTGCACTCTCATCACCCCTGCTCTACTGTCTTGCCCTACCAGAGAGGCCAGACAAGCAGAATATTGCATTCCTGTGATGCCACATCATGCCTATGATAGAGGGGGATCTGGAGGGAAGTGGCTGCTGTGCCCATGGCTCTGATGGCCAACCCTCTCCTCCCACCACCTCCCCCATGC